CCCTCCCCAACAATCCCATTTCCCTTCCATCCCTCCCCAACAATCCCATTTCCTCCTCTCCCATTTCCCTTCTCTCCCATTTCCCTCCTCTCCCATTTCCCTCCTCTCCCATTTCCTCCTCTCCCATTTTCCTTCTCTCCCATTTCCCTTCTCTCCCATTTCCCTTCTCTCCCATTTCCCTCCTCTCCCATTTCCCTTCTCTCCCATTTCCCTTCTATTCCCTCCCAAAAAAATCCCATTTTCCTTCTATTCCCTCCCAAACAATCCCATTTCCCTTATATTCCCTCCCAAAACAATCCCATTTCCCTTCCATCCCTCCCAAACAATCCCATTTCCCTTCCATTCCCTCCCAAACAATCCCATTTCCCTTCCATCCCTCCCCAACAATCCCATTTCCCTTCTCTCCCATTTCCCTCCTCTCCCATTTCCCTCCTCTCCCATTTCCCTTCTCTCCCATTTCCCTTCTATTCCCTCCCAAAAAAATCCCATTTTCCTTCTATTCCCTCCCAAAAAAATCCCATTTCCCTTCTATTCCCTCCCAAAAAAAATCCCATTTCCCTTCCATCCCTCCCCAACAATCCCATTTCCCTTCCATCCCTCCCCAACAATCCCATTTCCCTTCCATCCCTCCCCAACAATCCCATTCCCTTCCATCCCTCCCCAACAATCCCATTTCCCTCCTCTCCCATTCCCTCCTCTCCCATTCCCTCCTCTCCCATTCCTTCCTCTCCCATTTCCTCCTCTCCCATTCCTTCCTCTCCCATTTCCCTCCTCTCCCATTCCCTCCTCTCCCATTTTCCTTCTCTCCCATTTCCTTCTCTCCCATTTCCCTTCTCTCCCATTTTCCTCCTCTCCCATTCCCTCCTCTCCCATTTCCCTCCTCTCCCATTCCCTCCTCTCCCATTCCTTCCTCTCCCATTTCCCTCCTCTCCCATTCCCTCCTCTCCCATTTCCTTCTCTCCCATTTCCCTTCTCTCCCATTCCCTCCTCTCCCATTTCCCTCCTCTCCCATTCCCTCCTCTCCCATTCCTTCCTCTCCCATTTCCTCCTCTCCCATTTCCTTCTCTCCCATTCCCTCCTCTCCCATTTCCCTCCTCTCCCATTCCCTCCTCTCCCATTCCCTCCTCTCCCATTTCCCTCCTCTCCCATTTCCTCCTCTCCCATTTCCTCCTCTCCCATTTCCCTCCTCTCCCATTTCCTTCTCTCCCATTTCCCTCCTCTCCCATTTTCCTCCTCTCCCGTTTTCCTCCTCTCCCATTTCCTTCTCTCCCATTTCCTTCTCTCCCATTTCCCTCCTCTCCCATTTCCTCCTCTCCCATTTCCTCCTCTCCCATTCCCTCCTCTCCCATTCCCTCCTCTCCCATTCCCTCCTCTCCCATTTCCTCCTCTCCGGGCAGAGTTCCTGAAGGCGTCCCTGGAGCACTACGTGCACGGTCTGGGGGTGCCGGTCCGGATCGTGCGGCTGGGGCGGCGCTCGGGGCTGATCCGGGCGCGGCTCCGGGGCGCCGCCGCTTCCCGGGGCCAGGTGCTCACCTTCCTGGACGCCCACTGCGAGTGCACCCTGGGCTGGCTGGAGCCGCTGCTGGCCAGGATCAAGGAGGACAGGTAAGCAATTCCCAGCTCCAGAGGCACGGCTCTGCCCCAGCCCCTTCCCTGCCTGCTGGAAAACAGGAATTCAAAGGATTCACTGAGCTGCAGCGACACCATCTTAAGATTTTTTTATTTTTTTCAATTCGTATCAAAATCTCACTCCTGAATAAATATGTGAGCAGCTTTCCCAAGGCCTGGATCTCTCCCATCCAAAGGAAGTTTTCTCCCTGGTTTTTACCAGGAACAACTTCTCTCTTTGACCCCTTGAACTCATGGAAATTTGCACCCTTTTTGTTCCTTCTCTTTTCTTGTTTTCCCTTTTTTTTACTCTTTTCCCATCTTTTTTTTCCTCTTTCCCCTCTTTTTCTCCCATTTCCCTCCTTTTTACCTTCTTCCCCATTTCCCCCGCTTTCTCCCTTCCATCTTTCCCTCCATTTCCCTCTTCCCCCTGATTTTCCCCATTATTCTCCTTTTCCTTTTCCCCCTTTCCTCTATTTCCCTTCTTCCCTTTCTTCCTCCCCTTTCCTCCCTTTCCCCCTTTTTCTTCCTTTTCTCCCCTTTTCCCCATTTTTCTCCCCTTGCCCTACCTTTACTCTATTTTCCCTCTCCTTTCCCTCCTTTCCCTCTTTTTCCCCTCCTATTTTCCTCCTTTCTTCTCCCTTCTACTTCCCCTTCTTTTCCCCTTCTCCCTCAGCTTATTCCCCTCTTTTNTCCCATTTTCCTTCTATTCCCTCCCAAAAAAATCCCATTTTCCTTCTATTCCCTCCCAAAAAAATCCCATTTTCCATCTATTCCCTCCCAAAAAATTCCCATATCCCTTCTATTCCCTCCCAAAAAAAATCCCATTTTCCTTCTATTCCCTCCCAAAAAATCCCATTTTCCTTCTATTCCCTTCAAAAAATCCCATTTCCCTTCTATTCCCTCCCAAAAAAAAATCCCGTTTTCCTTCTATCCCTCCCAAAAAAAAATCCCATTTCCCTTCCATTCCCTCCCTGAAAAATCCCATTTCCTTCCATTCCCTCCCTATAAAATCCCATTTCCCTTCCATCCCTCCCAAACAATCCCATTTCCCTTCCATCGCTCCCCAAACAATCCCATTTCCCTTCTCTCCCATTTCCCTCCTCTCCCATTTCCCTCCTCTCCCATTTCCTCCTCTCCCATTCCCTCCTCTCCCATTTCCTCCTTTCCCATTCCCTCCTCTCCCATTTTCCTCCTCTCCCATTCCCTCCTCTCCCATTTCCCTCCTCTCCCATTCCCTCCTCTCCCATTTCCCTCCTCTCCCATTCCCTCCTCTCCCATTTCCCTCCTCTCCCATTTCCCTTCTCTCCCATTTCCCTCCTCTCCCATTTCCTCCTGTCCCCTTTTTCCTCCTCTCCCATTTCCTCCTCTCCCATTCCCTCCTCTCCCATTTCCTCCTCTCCCATTTCCCTCCTCTCCCATTTCCTCCTCTCCCATTCCCTCCTCTCCCATTTTCCTTCTCTCCCATTCCCTCCTCTCCCATTTCCTCCTCTCCCATTTTCCTCCTCTCCCATTTCCTCCTCTCCCATTTCCTCCTCTCCCATTTCCCTCCTCTCCCATTTCCCTCCTCTCCCATTCCCTCCTCTCCCATTTCCTCCTGTCCCCTTTTTCCTCCTTTCCCATTTCCTCCTCTCCCATTCCCTCCTCTCCCATTTCCTCCTCTCCCATTCCCTCCTCTCCCATTTCCTCCTTTCCCATTTCCTCCTCTCCCATTCCCTCCTCTCCCATTTCCTCCTCTCCCATTCCCTCCTCTCCCATTTCCTCCTCTCCCATTCCCTCCTCTCCCATTTCCTCCTCTCCGGGCAGAGTTCCTGAAGGCGTCCCTGGAGCACTACGTGCACGGTCTGGGGGTGCCGGTCCGGATCGTGCGGCTGGGGCGGCGCTCGGGGCTGATCCGGGCGCGGCTCCGGGGCGCCGCCGCTTCCCGGGGCCAGGTGCTCACCTTCCTGGACGCCCACTGCGAGTGCACCCTGGGCTGGCTGGAGCCGCTGCTGGCCAGGATCAAGGAGGACAGGTAAGCAATTCCCAGCTCCAGAGGCACGGCTCTGCCCCAGCCCCTTCCCTGCCTGCTGGAAAACAGGAATTCAAAGGATTCACTGAGCTGCAGCGACACCATCTTAAGATTTTTTTATTTTTTTCAATTCGTATCAAAATCTCACTCCTGAATAAATATGTGAGCAGCTTTCCCAAGGCCTGGATCTCTCCCATCCAAAGGAAGTTTTCTCCCTGGTTTTTACCAGGAACAACTTCTCTCTTTGACCCCTTGAACTCATGGAAATTTGCACCCTTTTTGTTCCTTCTCTTTTCTTGTTTTCCCTTTTTTTTACTCTTTTCCCATCTTTTTTTTCCTCTTTCCCCTCTTTTTCTCCCATTTCCCTCCTTTTTACCTTCTTCCCCATTTCCCCCGCTTTCTCCCTTCCATCTTTCCCTCCATTTCCCTCTTCCCCCTGATTTTCCCCATTATTCTCCTTTTCCTTTTCCCCCTTTCCTCTATTTCCCTTCTTCCCTTTCTTCCTCCCCTTTCCTCCCTTTCCCCCTTTTTCTTCCTTTTCTCCCCTTTTCCCCTTTTTTCTCCCCTTGCCCTACCTTTACTCTATTTTCCCTCTCCTTTCCCTCCTTTCCCTCTTTTTCCCCTCCTATTTTCCTCCTTTCTTCTCCCTTCTACTTCCCCTTCTTTTCCCCTTCTCCCTCAGCTTATTCCCCTCTTTTCTCCCTTTTCCCTCCTCTTTTCTTCCCATTCCTACTCCTGTTTCCCCCCTATTCCCCCTCCTATTTTCCCCCTTTTTTCCCTCTTTTCCCCTTCTCCCTCATTTTATTCCCCCCTTTTTCTCCCCTCCTTTTCCCAATTCTTTTCCTTATTTTCTCCCCCTTTTCCCCTCTCTTTTCCTCCCCCTTTCCCACTTGTCCCTTCTCTTTCCCCTCCTATTTCCCCCCTTTTTTTCCCCTCTTTTCCCCTTCTCCCTCATTTAATTCCCCCTTTTTTCTCCCCTCCTTTCTCCCCCTTTTCTCCCCCTTTTCCCCTCTCTTTTCCTCCCCCTTTCCCATCTTTTCCCTTCTTTCCCCTCCTATTTCCCCCCCTTTTTTCCCCTCT